GGGAGCCCGATGTGGGGCTCGATCCCAGGACCCTGGGATCATGACCTGAGCCGAAGGCAGACGCTTAACGACTGAGCCGCCCAGGCGCCCCTCGATGCACATAGTTCGAACAGTCCATGTAGCACAGTTGAAGTGACATTTGTGCTGTGCAGGCACAGGCAGACAGATGTGTTGTGATGTCCCCAGGTGACAGCGATGAAAAGATCCTGTAAACTGTAAAATGCTTCCTGATTTCAGGGATGTTAAAATGTGAACAAAATGTGTAGATTAGAATCAGTGCCATATGGTATACGAGACTGAAGGAAACAGGCTTTTTTATCTCAGAGTTTGTGGGAACGGAGATAGCACAGAATCTTTAAGAATAATCTTTGGAAAACTAATGTGCGGCGTCACATTGTTTCTGTGGCTGCCCACATATCCTTGGCTAGTTTATTTAATTTTTTTTATTTTTAAAGATTTTTATTTATATATTTGTCAGAGAGCAAGAGAGAGAGAGAGAGCGCACAAGTGGGGGGGCGGCCAGCAGGCAGAGGGAGAGGGAGAAGCAGACTCCCTGCCAAGCAAGGAGCCCAGTGTGGGACTCGATCCCAGGACCCTGAGATCATGACCTAAGCCAAAGGCAGACACTTAATCCACCGAGCCACCCAGGTGTCCTGTCACAGGCTAGTTTAAATGCCGGAGGAGCTTAATTCTGTGATCTGAGAATCTGCATCAAGGATAGCCCGTCTTTCTGGGTTTTCCTAACAAAACCGGAATTCAGTAGGTATGCCACATTGCAAATTCAAACTCTAGGCAGAATTAAGAAAGAGCGGTTTTCTCTAAAGTCCTTGTGAAAGAATATGCGTATATCTTACCACCTCTGTGTCATTCCAGACCCTCTGGCCACCTCTTCCCTGCTAGCCTCTTTGCAGGCACTTATGTCCCCTGACTCTCTAAAGACCCTCAGCAAGGCTTGGCTTTCCTTTCAGTGCCTTAGGCTCATTTTTCTTTTAATATTTATTTTTAAACAATATTATTAAGGTATAATTGACATACAATAAACTGCATTATTTAAAATGTACAATTTGAGTTTAGACATATGGACATAACCTGTGAAATGATCACCACAATAAAGATAATGAATGTGCTTCCTCCAGAAGTTTCCTCTGTCCCTTGGTAACCTGTATCTGTCCTCCTTTCCTGTACCCTCACCTCCTATACCCAAACCCACCTCAGTAGAGGAGCCCAGTTCCTCTGAGTGGTTGGGAGAAAGAGAACAGTGATTTGACCTAATTACACTGTTCTGGAACTAAATCTTTGCCTCCCAGAATTATTTTCATTTTAAAAGAAGGTTAGATATGTGATAAAATTTTCTTGGTAAGCTTAAGGCAGATATAATCTTAGAAATATGCCATCCGTCCCTTCAGAAAAAAAAAAAAATCCCCTAGAGTAAAGAGGCCTGGTTTGAAAAATAATACTTGGAAGCTTGAAGTAGACAAGACCTTGTTTTCTCACCTAAAAAAAAAAAACAAAACCAAAGAAATAGCTTTCTTAAATAGCTGAACACTTCATTAACTTGAGAGCAAATTAAGATGAAATTCGTGGGCAGCAGTGAAACTAAACATATTAAGGTACTGTGTGATCCTTCTGTTTCTGATCTGATACCTTGGCTTTCTGAGAAGTGGCTTATCAATATTCCTGAGACACCGAGCCCGGCCGCTGTCAGTCTGGGGGAGGTTTGGTGTGCTGCGCACCTCAAGCAGCCTCATCTGGTGACCTCATGGACTCTTCAACAACTGTAATTTTCTTGGTCTAGAACAACATCAGGAAACATCGAAGACAGTCTCTGAAGATGCTAAAAAAACTGGACTTTTTAACTGATACATTAGGTGTGCAACTCTCTCCCCTTTGGAGACAGTGTAAAAAGTTAGGGGTCACTTACCTTTAGGTAAGTCTTGCTGTGCTCATCATGGAGGTCATTTCTAAAGTAGTGCTTTTTACCTGGAACAAATGAAGGTAGGAATTTTTCAAATTTCACATAGTATGTAGCAGAGTGCTGGGTATTTGTGGCAGGTATTTAATAAATGTGGTGGAGGTGAGGCAGTATTTATAGTGTATGAGTTGCAGAGGAGATACTAGGTTATTTAAGTAATTACCATCGAATTCAGAAAATGTATGATAGGGGCGCCTGGGTGGCTCAGTTGGTTGGGCGACTGCCTTCGGCTCAGGTCATGATCCTGGAGTCCCGGGATCG